CGTCCCAGCGTCCATCAGCAACCGATAGTGGAGAGCATGGGGAAGTAGGAGGGTAGCAGACTGCTGGATTGATTGCTGTAACGCTAGATCGATATCTATACTTTCCTAGTGGCTCGAAACGCTGGCATACTTTTGTGGACGCGCGAAACACTGGACCGATGTCCATACTTTCCCAATCGCTCGAGAGGATGATGTACATCACATACGCTGGCGTGCGCCAGATCGATACCTATAATCTCCTTGTCGCTGGCGCTGGCGCGCGCTTGAAACGCTCAAAGATTTGCCGTAAGCTGACATAAAGTCTGAACGCAGAATAAGTGATGCGCGCGACATCTTGCCAGCGTGTTCACTGCAGGACACAGTCAACCAGGGCGACTGGGTCCTGAAGAGAACAAGTTGGCACGATATCGCGTCGCTGTAGTGAACGATGGCGAATCGGCCTAACATGAGAAGGGGCAATTATAGGCAGCAGCTAGAGTTGGACGCGTTACCGTCTGTGCGGCGTGTTGCGTGCCTGTGGCCTACTTGCGGGCGAGCATGGACAAAGAAGAGGAGACATCGAAACCCTTCAACTTTATTCCCGCATCCTTTCGAGAGGCGAAATTAGTGCACTCATACAGCTACGAACCCCTTGCTCATGAAGAGGATACCCGGAGGTAAACGTACAGTATGTCCCTAACGCAAGGAAAAATTGGAAGGGTTGTGGGGTCGTATAGGAAGTGATACCCTTTCAATATCCACACATGCACTAATACCACAAAGCAGGAGCATGAAAGGTACGCAGCTAAAAACCGATGACACTAGTAACCACATGCTCAAATGGGCGTGGTTTTCGTCTGTCAGTTGCTTCGTAACTACTTCTATTCTCCTGCTCAGTTCGAGGGAAAAAATGAGACAAGAATCTGGTCGCAATATTCACAACAATATCTTAAGCTCCATATTCTGATCATAACATCGCAGCACTACACAACTACTATACGCACAGTGTTCACCAGGAAAAACCAATAATGAACATATTGCCACACGAACGAAGATTGGTAGAGTGAGCTAGGACTAGAAGACCACTTTGTCAACAATCTAATTCGTCTATAATAAGGCTCATAATGTTTGTAAAACTTAGCTAACAAAGCTCGACATAGAAATGTATACCGTGGAATAAAATCGAGGTGTATAGATTCGTAAAGGAAAACGAAAGAAGGAGAAGCCTGCCGATCAACTCGGCCATGTTACCTGCACTTGGTAGGAGGTTAGTGTATCAGAGAGCGGTCGTATGGGACGAGTTGCTGCTAGCGTCGATAGCTAGTTGACGTTCTTCAGCAGCGTGCCTTTCGGCTATGGCTCGACTTCGTGATTCTCGTTGCTTCTGCATGTCCTCACGTTCCTCTTTGAAACGTTGTTCCAACATAGCTCGCCGCAAAGCAATGCGCTCGTCCAGCGCCGTCCGTTCCTTAATTAGAAAGAATACGAATTGGTATAGCTTTGTTTTGAGAGGAAACAATATCATGGTCGGCAGTAGGCTAATTTTTCCAATAGTCCTGAAGTTTATTATTGTTAGCGGAAGAGTGTCGCAACAGTAGTCAGCACGAAAATGTAGGGATATTTTGATAGTAGCTACCATGCAGGTCAATTTATCAGTGATTACCTGTTAGGTTGGCGGGAAAGTTTTGTCACATTTATTCAAATCAGACTTTTTTTTACAGAGAGGCGTACAAAATCAAAATTATACAG